ACTGTTGGAGACGAGAGAGACAGCCCAAGCGAATATCCAAACTGTTTGAGAATGAGGATGAGGTTACTCCAAAGCAAATATGTATGAAACTCAAATAAAAAAATGTCGATGCAACGAAAAGACTCAAGCTCTCATGTTTCTTACTAGTTGACATTATCATGTTACCTACAAATGCTGATGGTAAGCGTTTCCGCTTTTTTGTAGTTAACTATGTCCTAAATTTACCAGTTGATGCAACTAAGAGTAGGTAACTATTTGATCTCTTCTTTTCAGGTAAGATTATTGACTCCCATGTTAGGATGATTCGGGACTTAGATGTGTTTCAACAGCACCCATGGGGTAGAGAATGTTTCGCATTCACAATGAAGAGTATAAAAGCCAAAGAAGTTGCTGATATGTGTCAGAAATCGATGGAAATTCGAGGTTTCATTCATGGTTTGCAGTTTGTTGCATTGACTTGTATACCTGAGATAACCTCTTATGTAGCAACTGAGAAAAATTCTAAACAAGCGGAAATGATCGAATCTGAAGATGAATCAGACGATGAAGAAATAGAGAAACCACTAAGCATCGTCATAAGATTGGCTAAAGAGCTAGATGAAGACAAACCGGTAAATTTTTTTCTCTTCTTTCCCGATTATGTTAAATATTCATGTTCTTCTCATTTACCTTATCTATTTACGCACAGCGGCATCCGATATAACCCTACGTATCATTTATTTCATTGTAGGAAAAGTTTAAAGTTTCATTCGCACCGCCCACATTCTCCTTGGGACTTACGCATGAAGGAGTTTCTCTTGCGTAAACTGCAGCAAAACAAGCAACTTCTAAGTCAGGCGATGAGCTCATAAGAAACTTAACAACCAAACAAAGATCAAAAAGGATACTACCACAAGTCCAGACATCCACAACAATTTCAGCCGCTAAACAACCGAAGAGAAGCTTAATTCGATTTACTCATCAGACCCCTATCCCTAAAGTAGATGCCTCGATGTTTGAGATGCTTCTCTTGGCTTTAGAAAAAACAAAGTCAGCTCGAATAGTTAACTACATACATTCGAATAGTCGACTATTTTACATTCGCATAGTCGACTACAACTATTTATAAAATTTTAACAGGACCGTCAAAGTTGAGAAATTAGTGTCAGCCTCGAAGCTTTGTTTTATGGAGGTATGGGAACAAGAGAAGCGTTTATCAGACACAGTAGGCCACATTTCTTCCCTCTTCAATTATGCTTTACATTTTCAATTGTTGAAACTAAGGAATTTTTGGAATCATTATTTTGATAATAGTTAATGGATAATCTACTATTCTTTGTTCGGGAACGCTTTTTGGAGGAGTTTGAAGTAGGAACGAGTAAGCCTGTTCAATTCATGGAGATTACGTTTGGAGTGGATGTCTAAAAAATGCACCTAAAGTGTAATACTAAAAGCTACAAGATTCCCAAAAAAGTTCAAAATATGTTTCCAGGGACCGCCAATGGCACACGGATGTTAAGCTTCTCTACTGCCCATATATCATACGTGGTAATTGGGTTGGTCTTTGCATCGACTTACCTTCCCATAAAATTACCGTACTACTACCAGACCCTACAGAATACGCCCTCAAAGAAGTTGAGAAGGAGCTACTACCTCTTGCTTCGTCGTTACCCTTTCTCATAACAAACTGTGCTACCAATGCTGAAATGGAAGCAGACATATCTGAATCGTTCACTATCACCAGCTATGTGGGTGAATGGGAAATCAAATGCAAAGGTAAAATGTGGTTCATCAGATGCGATTAAAACTACGATAGTAATATTTAGCTTCTTTAGTTAACTCATTTTTTTGGATTTCTTCTAAATAGCTAACTATATTATACGTCAACCTAGTTAACTACCTTGTGATTAAACTTACTTAATAATTACCTAAATGCAGGTTCGCATGGCATCACAACTATTTTGCTACTTGAACTACATACATCTAATACACTTACTTTCTCAGCTAACCTCTACGAAGCAAGTATTATAGATACTGGAAAGAACTATGGCGTTAAGATATTCGAGAAATTTAATTTCTCTCTACCATTACGCATGTGTTAGGTTGTTTAGGTACTGGTGGCTTGAAACTTTTGCATTTTTTTTACCTTTGCTTTTCAGGATTATGGGTTGTAACCATACGCTTTACGATTCTCAAGCCAATTTTAGTTTTAAAGGATTAACTGCTTTGACAATTTACAGATTTTAAGTATTGACTACTACATATATAGTTTACCATCTGAAATTCATTTACGGATTAACTATGTTACTATAGCTTCACAGTTGTCGGAAATGAAACGAAAATGTAAAGTGAATTTCATCAAATGCGATAAACACTATGTTAGTAATATTTATATTCTTTAGTTAACTACATTTATCAACTTCCTTCTAAATAGCTAACTATATTTTAACTTTTACTGACTTCACTATAGTTGTGCGCAAGGCATCACCACTATAGTTGTGCGCAAGGCATCACCACTATAGTTTACCTTGCCAAATTACAGACTTAACTATACAATTACAAACAAAATATCGGGAAATAACCGTCAAATTAAAAACCAAAAAAATTCATCGATTTCGTCCCTCTCATAAAACAGATGTCTACAAAACCAAATGGAAACACAAATTGTTCAAACTAACGCGTCCAACACATTTTTCAAAAAACCATAAAAAACTTCAAACTCATATTCAAGTACATGACTTGAAACTTTATTACTCTTTCCATAAAGCAAAAAGATAAAAAATGGTCCTCCTTGCAACCTACAATACTCCAATTAGAGCCCCAACGCATGTTCCCTAATTGGCATCTTGCACGAAGTCTTGTTGTGTCCTCTGCGAAGGCATCTTGTGCACAACCGTGCTCCTTTCTTTGACTTACGCTGAATAGCATTTGAAAATTAAAACAACAACAAAATATGTTAACCATTTACATATCTGACTACACAAATTATACTTCACTATATTAACCATGAAAATCACGCACTGTAGTTCACTAATACAGTTCAAATTCAAGTACAATATAATTATCTAATAACAATAGTTGACAATTCTAGAAAACAAAAATTATAGTTCGCTATTAACCATGTAAATTCTCTAATAATAACAGTTGGCAATTAACCATTAACCACTTTAAATAACGAACTATAGTTCACTATCAGTTAGATTATTAATATCTTTTACTAATAGTTGACTACTAGAAA